GCGGCAGTTCTGTGGGAGTAAATGTCTTGTTGATGACAGAGGTCATAGAAGAATGGCCAGACTGGTTCCAGCTGATAGAATGGCAACAGTAACTCAAATAACTACTCGTTACAACCGAGGTATGCAGAAGAGCATCTCTGAACATACAACACATCCAACCTTGAGGCGGATGGGCTACAGCAGCAGAAGACCACACTGGGTGTTTGGATGATAGGATCAGAATTTGGCATCAACAACATGAAAGCATGGATCCATCCTGCCTTATATCAACGGTTTAAGCTGGTGGTGGTGGTGTAATGCTGTAGGGGAAATTTTCTTGACACACTTTGGGCCTATTAGTACCAATTGAGCATCATGTTAATGCCACAGCCTACCTGAGAATTGTTGCTGACCATGTCCATTCTTTTATGACCACAGTGTACCTATCTTCTGATACCTACTTTCAGCAGGATAATGCGCCATGTCATAAAGAAAATCATCTCAGACTGGTTTCTTAAACATGACAAGGAGTTCACTGTACTCATATGGCCTTCACAGTCACCAAATCTCAATACAATAGAGCATCTTTGGGATGTGGTGGAACGGGAGATTCACATCATGATGTGCAGCCAACAAATCTGCAGAAACTGTGTGATGCTATCATGTTAATATAGACCAAAAATATATACAATACATATTTCCAGTAGCTTGTTGAATCTATGCCATGAAGAATTAAGGCAGTTCTGAAGGCAAAATGAGTTCCAGTAAGGTGTAACTTACAGTATAAAGTGGCCAGTGAGTGTATATTACCTATATTCAATTTCGTCATTCACCTATATCTATTTTTCAAAATGGGTTGTACTCATTTATGTTGAGCACTGTAACACTGTTGCAAAAGTAGTTAAAACAGACAGACGATCTGAGATTTATGCACTTTGAATGTCTTAGTAAGGTTAATCTGGTAGCTGTGAAGTCCGTGAAAGCATCTTGTCCAGAATATGTGTGTTAGAGAAAGCGACAAGGAAGAGTGTGTGCATGTGTGTGTTCATATTGTAAGCATGAGACTGAGGACAAAGAAAGTACAATGAAAGAGAAAGAATGAAGAGAAATGGATTCTGTAAGAAAGACAGGTCGGCCTGAATTTTTAAGGCTCGCTTCACTTCTTAGGTGTTTTAAATCCTTTCATATAAGGGCATAGCGCACTCCGCATCATCTCTCTTCCCTCCTTCCTTTAATCTGATCCTCTGGCCAATTCTCTCACGCAGACATAGGCACACACAATCTGAATCTCTTTTTCCAAAGACAGGAATGGACACTATGTTCTTTGTGACCGTTTCCACACTCTAACTGCAGAAGAGAACAGATAAGACCAAATACATTAAACATGAGGCGGTCTTATCGCTATTTGACACGAGGATGCACCTGTGAGTTAAAAGCAATGGACAAATCAAAATGCATAAAACATTTTGTTTTCTGTTTATTGGCCTTTGCATTATTGAACGAGAGGTTCTTCTGCGAAACAATGCTCAAAGTGATTACCTTATAAATAAAACCAGTAATCTAAACTGGGGTGACTGGAACTAGTCATTACACTGGAGATATTTCATCTTGCAAGTTGTCATTTGTTTTATGTTATATTGTACAGCTTTGTGTTATAAAATTGACATAATTTTAACATTTTGACAATAGAATCAATACTGATATCCATATAATATATAGCATGTCAAGTCACACATGAGCTAAAGCTTGCAGGTAGGGAAAGATACATGGATTTAAATCAGTGCAAATGCCATTATGCAACATTATGATCCCGCTCTCCATACTGTTTGTCGAGACTGTCGACTTGTAATTAAAATGTAAATAATGTTCAGTTCCATGTATATAACAGTATTTTGCTTCATAAGACCATAGTGTATCATCAGAGCCTGAAATAGGCAGTATTTATGACACATGTATTTCAAATAAAAATTTTAAATACAAATTAGCATTTTTGTACTCGATAGAGTTGATGAAAATGGCTAAATATTTTGTATTAAAATACTTTAGTGTCTTGTATTTTTAAAATACTGTAAAATACTTTGTAGGAAGTGACATAATTAAAATGCACTCTCTGATTGGTGCTTTGGACATTGACTCTTCAATTTAAAGAAGAACTGGAAAAAATGTTTTGGAGAATGAGCATCCTGTACAAATAATAGCAGTGTTTGGATGGACTGCTGATGCCAAATGTAAAAATTAAATCATAAACATTATTCCTACAAAGACAATTTCTACAATATTTTATTGAGTGTTTCATAAGTCATTTCAGATGCAAAAAAAAATTCATGAAAAAAATCTGTATACAAAAAATTTAAATGAACTCTTAATTTATCACCCTTTTAATATATTAAGAGGTTGAATTATCATTATACTGAGATGATGGCAATTTTACTTATCACCGAATGGGTGAAAACAGTTATGGTACTTTGTTCTGACTTGTTATCTGCATTAAAATGGTTTAAACAGTAAGAGGTCGTCTACAAGACAGGACTTTCTATATGAATTGTATACAAAATATTTACAAAACATACCAAAAAAACATTACATTTTATACCTCCTCGTGTACAGCAGGAGTAGAGGTGAATGAGGCGGTAGAAAAGCTAAAAGTTGGTCAGAGAAAAGCTGTTGTTAGGTACAATGGTGAAGGTATTAATCGAAAAAAGCCTATTGATAGAAGGTTTGAAAATAAATATCACGATTTTTTGTAAAAATATGTTGTCAAGGACATAGATTCGCTCTTGACATTGGTGGGGACATACATTCAAAGAGCGCATGCATTGAACAAAATGTTTTCGCGTTATCAAAAACATGAATAAAGTACTCAACATTATAAAACAAACACTTTATAATATAAATAAATTAATATCGTCCCATGCTGCAAATGTCAATTTACATGATTTAACTGCAATCTGGCTTTGAGGAGGTATGAATGAAGAGAAATTTAAGAAAGGTGTGTGACAAAACTGAATTTGGATTAATTGCACAGCCTTTGTTAATAGTAATATAGTGAGCTCATAGCAAACTTGACTTTAACCCTTTGTGTACAAGTAGGTTACTAAGAGTTGACGGAGCATTATTTTATTTTGAAGTCAATAAAATTATTAGTAGGGACATTTCAGTAATTGGTGGATATTGGTGGGGATACATCCCCTCCATTCATGCTAATTCTGTGCCTTGTATTTTGTTATTCTAAAATACAAAATACTGTATTTTATTTTGATACAGGTTGTGGCTGCTTTATTTTGTAGTTTATTTTGATACACTTAAACTTAGGGTATTTGGCATTTTATTTTAAAATACTTTTTAATGTATTTATGCTTAACATTGATCAGAGCCAAATAGGTATAAATTTTGTTTTACTTCAATGTAACTTATGACTCTCTAAGTGCCAGTAGCTATCAACTTTTGCATTTCATCACCAAGGACCAAGTTTTTAGCCTAAAACATGTTTTAATGTTCTGCTGAAGAAAATACTAACTAGCCTGGGATACGTTAAAAAAATTATTTGAACTACCCTTTTAACGTTAAATGTATTTTTCAGTATTGTATTTTGTTGATAATATACTTTATATTGGCAAAAATACCTTGAAAATAAGTCAAAACGCTAGCCAGTAAACTAGTCATGACTAAATAAAAAACTCAGAAAATGCATCGCACTTAAAAAAAATGTAATCGGTTATGCACAATATTTTCAGTCTATGACAATGACACACTACTTGTTGATAGTGCAGACTGACTGTCCTCCATTCTTAAGGGAGTTTGCACTGGCTGACATCTCATTAATGTCAGAACATTCCAGCACTACACCCCCGCCCTCCGTTTCCATCAGCTCCATCTTCCAAACCTCGCGACCCTGAGCGCAAAGGCGCGTGCGAACTTTCACAGCATTTAAGGGAGGTTTCAGAGCTATTTTGTGCCACTTTTTCTCGCTTTCGGATTCCCCGAAACAAACAAAACACACAAGGATGATGAGCACGTCTGACACTCCAGTCATTATAACACATCAGTCACGTCTCCCCCGCAAGCTCGTTCATCAGCACAGAGATGCGCGCGCGTAATGCAAATGAGACCACAAGCTCGCCAAATGGAAAATAAAAAAAAAACATTTATAAATCTACACGCTTTTAATTATATTAACGCCAAGCATCACGACATAACTTCTAAAATGTTCTGCAATGTGTTCGTTTAAGTCAGTAATATACTTTGGAATCAGGACAGGAGGTACAATATTACCAAAGTGATTTAAAGAATACTATGGTAATGCACAGTATTTGTATTTGTTTATTTATTTTTAGTTCTTTTCCTTTGTTCTGATCATACTCCTTCAAATGTCTCTACCTACAGTAAATATTTCACAGGTGCACGTGCAGGTGTTTGAAAAATATTATTTATGGGTTACCAAACGACATAGCGCGTTTCCAGATTTGATTTCAAAAGACTGAACCCAAATATTCACTTTCACCTCGTTCTCCCAGTTCATTAAAGTTGCTCCAAAAGATCCAGTGCAGGAGAGAGCCGTACAAATGACTCTGACCGTCGTGGAAACAAGTTTGAACGATTCAATCCAATGAACCGACTCTAAAGGTCCAATCGCGATAACAGCATTGCTTCCAAACAGGAGACAGCAAACAAGGGCATGATTTGATTCGATAATATTTAGTTTACAGTCAAACAATTTAGCGTTTGTCAACGCCAGCCGTTACATAATCAACAAAATATCGAGTTTCAAAAACTAGCAACAGTACTTTGGATAGCTTGCAACAGTGCGATACAACCCAGCACACATTTTGTAAATAATGAAGAAAAAGCCAAAGCACATTCGTGTGAATAAACATTTACTCAGTTGCAGAAAGCCACTTAACAATTATCATTAACTGTAGAAAATGTAAGTTAACTAAAATAATTATAAAACAGCCAAATAAAAAAACGAATTCAATTGCATGCATAAATCTATTGAAAACTGACATTTTAGCATTGCTTACCTTACTAGCCAGAGTTCACAGAAAGGTAAAAGATGCTCTTTTGAAAGAACTAGTTCTACTCAGTCCTCTGCTGTTTAGTAGATCCACTAAAAGCGCACGGTTCCTCTCTAGAAACGCACGGCTTGTCCTCGACCGTCCGGATATTTGTGTGTCGGTTCCGCGTATCGCCCTGGTCACTAATTGCCAGGCCACTGGAATCTCCCGGAGCGCACGAGAGGAAGGTTCTCCCGGCACGCGCGTCTGATTGGCTAGACTGTCGGTGACGCACCAGCAGGTGGCAGAGCGTTCATATATAAGAGGAATTCAGACAGACACATTCATAAACTACATTGACTTGTTGAATAGGGTCTGCCAGAAAGGCAAGAATTGCTTTTACAACGGCAAATACATCTAGGATAAATATGAAAAAAAAGCTGCACTTAAGTAACAGGTATATATTATTTTAGAAATGTTATTGTTTAACTTTATTTTCTACTTATTAAATGCCATTCTGTCTTCTTGTGTTCATGTTTACCCTGAGCTCATGTAAACCACAAAAAAATTAATTGTGTGTTTGTTTGTGCACACTTAAAGAATGATGCTGATTTTCACTCAGCTTTTAGTCTACACTAAGGGAAACAATATTTATTGACCATTAAGATTTATTGGGTGTAGTTTTAATGCATTTTTTTCCCACAATTATTTTATTTATTTATTTTTATTTTTTGCATAACCAAGTAAAACCTTTTTCTAATATGAACTCAGACACATATGAACACATACTCATATGAACTGAAAGAAATGTAAAACGTCCATCAGAATTATCTTCTGATGCAAACGGCTTTGACTTTATCAAATTGACACTATTTTGAATTAAAAGATGATCGATTATTTATGAGTCATGTAGTTTGTAACTGAATTCAATGAGACAAGAAACAATTTGCCATCATATGCATGCATTTATTTGAGTTTTATAATCAAATTATTATTATTTCAAAACTGTTGAAATTGGTTTGAAAAATATTTCAATTGTTTTTCTTTGTTGTTGTTTTTTACTTCAAATACATCACAATATTTTGCTAATTTAATAAGTTTATATAAAATTAAGTATTACAAAAAAAAATAAAGAAGAAAAACTAAAATAGGAACAGACAAAACTCTTGTTTTACACAATATATTTAATATATTTACATATTATAATAACATTTAAAATGTGGAATTTATGGAACATACTTTATTTGTTTAAGAGTAGGACAATAATTATGCTGTATTTCAGTACTAATTCATTTAGTTTGCTTTCTGTTTTCTTCCTTATTTTGTAACCGGTCTGTTCAACTGATTATGATGCATTTATTTATTTTAATGTAAGGCTGAGACCAGCTTTAACAAGAAATAGAGATTTTAAATTAGTTTGTTTCATTTCTCTTTTTCACATTATGACAAATACGAACTAATTAGCTGGCACACTCAGAGAACAGCTGTAAGAGGTTGCTTTTAATGATGCCCAATTAAAAGAATATTCCATTATTTCACTGTTTGTCTTTTGTGTTCAGAGCATGTTAGAGATTATAAACATATGGACCCCTACAGCTTAACTAGAGTACAATGCAACATTTACACAAATATGCAGCTGTCCTACTACTGATTTAATGTGAAAAAAGTATCCAAGAAGGAAATTAAATGTTAAAATAGCTTATAGGGAAGGTAATGACTTGCTGTGATTAGTTTGCAATGGGATATTGTACGGTTTTATGTCATCCGTTGCAACACCATAAAAAAAAGGAAAAACACTCACCGGTAACTTTATTAGGTACACTTGTCAAACTGCTCATAAACCCACATTTCTCATCAGCCAATCACATGGCAGCAACTTGATGCACTTAGACATGTAGACATGGTCAACACAATCTGCTGCAGTTCAAACCGACCATCAGAATGGGGAATACAGGTGATTTAAGTGACTTTGAACGTGACAAGGTTGTTGATGCCAAACGGGCTGGTCTGAGTAATTCAGAAGCTGCTGATCTACTGGGATTTTCAAGCACAACCATCTCTAGGGTTTACAGAGGAGGGTCCGACAAACAAAAAAATCCACTCAGCAGCAGTTCTCTGGGCGCAAATGCCTTGTTGATGCCAGATGAGAATGGCCAGACTGGTTCCAGCTAATAGAAGGGCAACAGTAACTCAAATAACCACTCGTTACAACTGAGTAACGCAGAAGAGCATCTTTAAATACACAACACGTCAACCCTAGAGGTGAATGGGCTACAGCAGCAGAAGATCAGACCGGGTGCCACTCCTGTTAGCTAAGAACAGGAAACTGAGGCTACGATTTGCACACCAAAACTGGACAATACATGATTGGAAAAACGTTGCCTGGTCTGATGAGTCTCAATTTCTGCTGCAACATTTGGATGGTAAAGTCAAAATTTGGCGTCAACAACATGAAAGCTAAGGTTCAGGCTGCTGGTGGTGGTGTAATTGTGTGGAAGATATTTTCTTGGCAGACTTTGAGCCCATTAGTACCAATTGAGCATTGTGTCAATGTCACAGCCTACCTGAGAATTGTTGCTAAACATGTCCATCTCTTTATGACCACAGTGTACTCATCTTCTGATGACTACTTCCAGCAGGATAATGTGCCATGTCATAAAGCGTGAATCATATCAGACTGGATTCTTGAACATCACAATGAATTCACTGGACTCAAATGGCCTCCACAGTCACCAGAGCTAAATCCAATAGCACCTTTGGGATGTGGTGGAACAAGAGAATCACATCATGGATGTGCAGCCAACAAATCTGCAGCAATTGCTTGATGCTATCATGTCAATATGGATCAAAATCTTTAAAGGAATGTTTTCAGTACCTTGTTGAATCTATGGCACAAAGGATTAAGGCAGTTTTGAAGGCAAAAGTGGGTCCAACCCGGTATTAATAAGGTGTACTTAATATAGTGGCCGTTGAGTGTATATATCAGACTGAACTCCCAAAATGATGAGTTGAAACTGGATTATATTTCCTAAGAGGGATGTAGTATTTTATACATATTCGATTTGTCATTGTGACATTCATATTTAGCAAAACTGGACCCAAAATAAATGCAATTCCCGATATTTTTTATTCATTTCAGAATGAGACGGTCTGGAAAAAAGTGAATGGGACGCTCTGCTGCTTACTGTAGATAAAGATTCAAAGTCAATTCCACTGTCTACCACCCTAATGATTATTCACCTCAGGAAGAAAGTCTAAGAAAAAGATGGAGAAAGATGGGTGTGAGCGGAGCAACAATGTGATGAAAAAAGGAGAGACACCGGGATTATCGATGTAGAACTGAAAAGAATCAAACTCTCAGAAAGTCTAATGATAACTGTATATCAAATGTCCTTTTTCTTAGCTCTATGGGACTAATTATGTCAAAAACCAGCCTCTGTCCAGGAACTGAATGTCTTTTCACCTAGAGAGTATTAACTTGGCAAACACTATTGTCATAAATGACTTAAAAATTCCATATCAACAAAATTGTTTCCCCGACAACTGAAGCACCAGAGTATCTTCATAGTGAATGAGTGATCTACATATAAAGCAGATTACAGCACCTGTGCCCATTCTGTCATACAACACTGATGCACTGTAAAGATACTCTGTAATTAATTAAGCCATAGATCACCACGTCTGGCTCAATATATCAGGAGTAGCCCTTGAGGTGGACAAAAAGATTAGAGTTAATGAGCTGTACAAATAGGAAAGCCCGGTTTTATTTCCTCCAATCATACTCACTAGTCATTGAAGTGTTCTCATTGGCTGCAGGGGATGATCTTCTGCTGAAGCACTTTTGTGTTCTTTTTACTTTATAGTTCAAAATAAAAGCACAATATTTGACCTGAAATCAAAAATATAACAGGTGTTAGATAAATATATAGGCATTTTGTGGCATGATTATGTGTATAGCCTTCCTGTCTCTGCTAGATTGTGGCATTAGTGACAGCGTGTGTTGCCAGATGAGGCATAGCTTGAATGGCCTGCTGCTTTAGACAAAGGCGCCTCTTGAATGCACAGAAAACAGCTGAATGCTTTTTCTCACACCAAAAACAAATAACACAAAGTCATGTAATTAAATGGGTGGCTGTAAACAGACATTAACAATATTTACTGTATGTTGCTAATGCAATAACAATTTAAAACACTTAATTTCCCTAATTGCAAATATGTTTTATGTGTATTTGTGTTCACTTTTATGTTGTAAAACATCTAGATTAGTTTCCACAACATGCAGGAATAGTTCTAAAATACTAAATATTAATTCATTCCTTCATTTTCGTTTCAGCTTATTCCCTTTATTAATCAGGGGTCACCACAGTGGAATGAACCGTCAACTTATCCAGTATTTGTTTTACGCGGTGGATGCCCTTTCAGCTGCAACCTATCACTGGGAAACGCTCATTCATTCTCATTCACACACATACACTACAGACAATTTTAGCTTACCCAATTCACCACCCACTAAATGTTAATACTCAGTATTAATTAACAAATAATTTCAGGTTTTGTTCTCAATTTTTACCTTTAATATAACATGTTGTTTGCCTTTTTTAGTAATTGTTTGTGACATTTGACTGGATGTTATTTCTTTACAGCATATGTTTCCCTGGCAAAAATTAACCATGGGTTTATTAAGTTGACTAGTTACACAATAAAGAAAAAAAGAATCGAAATTGTGAAACTGTCAAACTTTATAAAAAAATCTAAATTTTTTTTTTTTGCCAAATCGCCCAGCCCTACCTTATGCTTTGTGCTTCAGGGCCATTTCCCCTCTGTTTTTGAGGTGATGTGCATAAGTAATCCTTTTATATGTCTGACGTGGTCCAAACACAGTGAATTATGTTTGATCAAACAAAAGAATAGTGAAATATGAAAACAATGATCGGTCCCTGTGGCTTGAATAGCACCTCTTATCAGTTGGAATACAATAACTTTTGCATAGATTATGGTAGAGACATTGTTTCTTTTTTCCTATGATTACAGACATGTGCAGGAACCACCTTAATTAATAACAGCAAGCTAGATGACACAGAACCTAAAAGGTACACTTTCAAATTTGAGTTTATAAAAAATAAAAATACAAAAAAAATTTTTTTAGGTGTTTATTATAACACAGACAACATATACAGTTATTTTAAACAGTGATTTATGAAAATTCAAAGGGTTTTCTTTAAAATG